ACGTGAACATTCCCTGCTCCATAGAGACCGCAGTTCGAGATATGGCAGCAGCTCTCAGGTCCATGGGCTCTGGATGGGGCACTGCAGGAAAATCTGATGGCCCTCGTTCACCTGGTTTTTACACCAAACACAACCAAAGGAACAGCTGCCATCCACTCAGCCTGATTCCTCCCACTTCAAATACAGCTTGAGAGGAGTTGCCAGTCATCTGCTCCCACCTGTGAATGAAACCAAAAGGACTGGGGGACACCCTCAGGCTCATAAAGTACCTCATCCACCAAGCAATTCAAATCAAGTAGTTTCCTTCTGTTGACAACCCACTTCTTTCTTCCTTTTTTTCTCTTTCCACATTAATCCCTGGAGGAGTACTAATTTCAACTGGAGATCCTCGTTTGCAAATCAGAGCCTAAGCCAAAGGCAGAGAGAAAAGGTGGGAAGGACTATGAGTGTATCTGTAATAAATATATCAGCAGAGCGTGCTGGAGCGAATGAAGATCTGAGAGGGTTGCAGATTGCACCAGCCATGAAATGTGATGCTTAATCAATTAGAGAATTACACAGCAACAGAAGCAAATGGTCACTGGCTTCAGTCAAATCCAGCAGGTGTTTGGGCTCTCATGTCCCATTTTCGTGCCTTTCAGCTTGCTCCTGAGATGTTCATTCAAGCAAGCAGCTTGATTCCTATGCCTGGGGCCAGCAGACATCTATCTTACCTTTGACTGCTACAGATCTGGCTGTGACCCTGGGCTGTTCATCATGAAGAACCAGGAACAAACATGACAAGGACAAGCTGAACAGGAGCCTATCACACAGGACAGCTGCTTGCTGAGGTGAAGAACTATGGCTCAGATCACACCTCCAGGTACACCTTGAAGCTGCTACTTTTCTTCCCTTTGCCCTTCTTGGATGTTACCACATGGTGCTGCAGCCCCTGGGGACACAGCAGATGTGGGTCTCCTGTGGGGATGACAGCAATGACCATCTCCTTCAGGCACAAACATCCCCCCATCTCCTGGCTGCAACACCAAAACATCCCTGCACTATTCCTCAGCACTTGTGCTGTTGGCAGAACTTAGACAAGACAAACAGATGGAAAGTCCCAGGAAGCCCAGACAACAGTGCGTGTTTCATCCAGGTGCCAGAGAGACTGGACACATTTATTTTGAGTTATTTCAGTGTTTTAGCTCATCTTGAAGAGTAGATGCTACTTACTGCCATTTGTCTGATGCTAGGAAATAACCTTAAGCAGATGTTTCTTTAATCACTAAATATAACAAAAATATATTTAGAGCAGAGAACTCCTGTTATATCATCTTTTACTTACTTTTTTCCTATCTACAGTCCCTCTTGCTGTTTATAGGTATTCCTCATGACTGAATTTTTCCTCCTCTCTATTCTCTTCCCCAGCTAACTTTCCAATACTGGGGAAACTGTTATTCTTAGAAATTGGAGCACAAGGACATTTGCTTGGAAGCAAAGTGACATCTGTGAAGAATGACTTTGGACATTGAATAAAATAGAAGAAGGGCAAATTAGAGGGAAAAGGCCAGAATTTCTGTCGAACATCTAATCAGTTTTAGGACATTAAGCATTTAAATGAGGTTATTTGGGCAAAATGAGTCCTGGTGTGGAATATGTGACTGATCAGTAGGGGCTGCTGAGGGGCGAATACTCAAAAACATCGGCTTTTCCTGGATTGTGCAACCTTCATTGCTGATGGAGGTAGTATCCTTCCAACAGCCCTTGAAGCATAAACCATGGCTCTGTGTTTTATAGACAAAGACAGAAACACATTTCTTGGGAAAGCTTATAGAAGCAGAAAAAAAAAATGGATATGGCTCAGTGATGTCCATAATGATGAACATCACAAACATTCAGCATTTTAAAACAGAGGATTAGCACCACTGATAGCCATGGTCTTAGTGCTCTCACCAACTGCTTAACTTGACCCTCCACTGCTCAGTTGTAAAAGAAACAAATTCTCAGGCACAGATCGACCCAAGCACATTTCAGGATGGAAAACTGAACATGGCCAGACACTTGCTGTGGCAAGTCCAGTCCTGCTGCCACCACACTGGTTTGGTACCCTCTGAAGAGCTGTTCCTGCTGTAAGGTAGAAGTGGGATGTTTGTGTCACCAAGCAGCTCAGCAGCAAGCAAAAGGCTCCTGGTTGCTGAGAATCCTCCTCTGTGGCGGTGCAGAGACGTGGCTTCTCTTAAGGTGTTCCTGCTCAATGAAAGATGTGTATCAAACTTGGCTGGCCTCTCCGCTTCTTTAAAGGATGCAATAAATTAGGAAGTGATAAAGGGCCAAAGAGAACATTTGAAATTCCAGTGGCATTTCTAGGAACTGCCTGTCACACTCCAAGTTCCTTGCAGGGACTTGCTGACCAGCCTGCAGGAAGGGAAGTGCTGGCTACAGCAAGGCACATATATGGAACTGCTGCTCATTCCTGGGAAATAAACCAAAAAAGCTCTTAAAGCATGTCAGATTACCTTGTCAGCTGCATAGACCCAAAGGTAGACAGTCCTGTGGTTAAGGCTTTCTGTTGAGGATTCAGTGCACTCTCTAGCCCCTGCTGTAACAAAGGGAGCACAAGCAAGGAAGCACCCTTGTAACTATTAGTATGTCCCCTAATGTGCCTGAGGTACTGGATGAATCCATTTGAATGAGATTTCCATAGACCCTGCTGGATGCAGCTCTCCATAAGCAGCACACAGACGAGGTGAGCCAGTTCCTTGCAGGGAAGTGGGAACATCACCCAATGTTGCTTCATGATGGAGCAGTCTGAAGGGCAACTCAGGGCAAGCCAGTTTCTACAAGATATTAAGGATGGCTTCTTCCTCAGCATGGAATGGGCACATCAGCATCTCCCCATAGCATGGAGCACTCCTGAACCAGCCCTTTTGCCTGTAATGTACAGGTCTGATGGAGGCTTTTCCAGCGATGTTCTCAGAGCTAAAGCAATTCATAGTATTGAATGTGATGCTGGAGATCACGTTCATGGTAAGAGACAGCATGATGCAAATGTGTCTGAAATTACTTCTTGAATTTTACCGTGTGTGCAAGGAAATGGCTCTCTTGAGGCGACCAGAAAATCTGGGGCAAAACATAGATTAAGCACCTGGTGTCTCCAGCTCACCACTGATCCACTCTCTCCCCAGTGTGCAGGCTGACATCGCTCTCCTTTAATGCAGCCGCTCCTCTTTGACTCCATTTGCAAAAATTCCAGCCCCACTGAGGCATTTAGATATTTAGATATCTCTGTTAAATACATAGATATTTCTTTAGATATCCCTATTAGATATTTAGATATCCCCTCAATCCCCCAGGCTGGGGGGACTCTAAATAAGCCAGGCACTGCATTACGCAGAGCTTGTCTCTGGCTCAGTGTCGCCCTTGAGAGGAAGTGTGGGGGTTGTGTGGGCTGGTTTGTTCTTGCTGTTCAATGGGCTTTTTATTTTTCTTAACTTCAATGACTTCACACTCATATGGAGACTTCTCTCACCATTACCCTTTCTCTGTTCCAGGACTTGCTTTTCTCCTGGGCAATTGCCATCTTCCTGCTAGAGTGGTGGAAAGAGTATGACTCGTATTTGGGAATTCAGGGGGCAATATGAGCAGACAGTATACAGTGAGTGCAGCATGGGAATGTGCCACAAATTAACAAGCAGGGAAACAACCTAAAGGCACTAGCTGTATTCAGTGAGAGGAAATAAAGTAGTTAGTGAGGAGCATGTTAATTGCTAACTAATCACATAATCTCTGTTGCAGTTGGTTGGGTTTTGTCTCTCATACACCCAGTTTGCAGATGTTGCTGCTGTTTTACATAGACTTGTTTATCTGTGGACTCACTGAATTTCATCTCATGCCAATTTTAACATTAGTGTTCAGAAACCCTGAATAACCCAAAACTTACCTGGAGACCGGATAAGAAATGATTTTGACACCACGGAACAAGCAGCTTCTTGATGCACCGAGAAGTTCCGACAGCACCTATTCCTTTAGGAGTGTGTGTTTACACAACACATTTCCAATACCTATAGGTGATCTAAAAAATGACCAGTTACCCCTCAGATGGCATGGGTTTAAAGACATTCCCTTCAGGTGTTTCAGGACTAAAAGTGAGCACTGGGTAGTACCATGCATGAAATCATTTCCCTTTGCTGTTGATTCTAGAAGCAGCCAAGAGATTTAGCAGAATTTGCTAAATTTTCGCATTGCAAAAAGTGTTCCAGAATGAGGTTGATCTTTTTTTAAGTGTAGCTTTTTTAAAAAGGGCTGTTTAGTGACTCAGCTTCAGGTTATTGGGAAGTTACAGGTGGTCTTTGGAGGACAAAGAGGGGCTGTGTTAGGAGAAAGCAAGGTATTTTGCAACCTACAATGTGTTCTAAGTGTTATAACATATTTATTAATCATATGTGGGCATACAACTTCACACACTCTACCAGAATTTACTGTACCAATGTAATTTCCATATTGTATCTCTGTAAGTGTTAGGAATCAGCCAATATGCTACATTAATTATCTGCATTTAGCATTGTGCAAGCTGACATAATGATCAATTATGGAGTAACACATCAGTAACTGTTTACTGAAGTACAGAAGTAATCCCCCCAGGTTTTCTGAAATATTCTGGACTTAACTACCCAAATCCTATTTTTGTCCAAAAGTAACGTCTTTCCATAGCTGACAGGTGCAGTATGCAGTGCTCAACTGCTTCAGCAGCAATGCCTCTTGCAGGTTACATGGAGGGGCTCTTCTCCCACCACCACATGGGAGCTTCTTCACTAGTTCACCTCTTTTTGGAAATGTTTTTCTGTGAAGTTCTACAAAATTGCTCCATGGCTTTGAATTTCTTTTTGAAGAAATTCTTTGAATTTCAATTTCTCACCTCCTTTGTTCATCTATAACTGGAAACACAAGGTATTTGTCTTGCAGTTCAGTGACATATGACCACTTGCAGAAACTGTTTGAAAAAATGATGAAAGAATGCAGGATACTTGGTCTAAGAAAAAGAGTAGGGAGAACAGGCAGAAAAAAACACCTTCCACAGTGAAGATTCCTCTGAAGACAGTGGAAATCCAAATATTCCCCATGCCCACTGAAAACAAGGCAAGAAAAATCAGGTTAACTTTCTGGAAAAAATGTCTAGGATAAACAGTAGAAAAAACTTCCTAATTTTAGAGAGAGATGAGTCTTGGAACAACACAAGAAGGTTTGGACTTTCCTTTTCTAAAGTTCAGAAGAAGAGCTTAGGCAAATCTTGGCCAGGAAAGACTGAGGATGACATCCTGGTGAATACTCTTGAACTAGACGATCTGTGATTTTAGGGTTCAGGCCATGAGGACTGTCCTAGCAGGCTGACACAGTTACAGAGCTGGAAGAAGCCCTGTATAATGATAGCCAGCCATCCAATCCTTCAGAGATTCATTAGGCAGAAATGGATTTGCTGTACTCAAAGAAGCAGTGCAGAGCAAAGGAGTCCCATAGCAGCTTTGGAGAAGAACTCCTTCTTCCTCCATGTCTCTTCTTCCATTTTCAGCCTCTGTAGCTCCAGAACTGGGGTTTCCCTCTGCCTTTATTCAGAATTCAGCACAAACAGGCCTTTGAACTGAAACAGAAATGTCAAAACATGATCCTTTCCCACCTTGAGAAACAAGCATGTCCTGAGCACTCTTATCTCAAAAGCAGAAGACACAGGCTGTGAAAACATTCAGTCTGGAAATTAATCTTTTGAACAGCAGCTGAGTCTGAACAGATTGTATATATATTTGTGTTTGCTCGTTTTGAGTTACTTGACACTTTTCATCTTCAGCTAAATAAAATTTTCTAACGATTTTTTTAAAAGTCCAGACTGGATAGACAAAGCACATTTGTCAAATTTACTACTGCAGTAAGTGGCACCAGTGCTGATTTTTAGTGAGTGTAGTTTCTTACTGTAGTAGCTGACTTGGCCTAATTCAATTGGAAGCTGGACAAATACCGCCCTTGAGCCAAATCCACCTTAGTCAAAGCTTATATAAATCTCTTAATATCAATAATCCCGTGCCTGCTAAACCCAGGAGTTATTTTGGTTGTATCTGGCAAGATAAAATTATCTGTACTCAAACCCAGTGATTCTGTTTGTTGTCACACCATTGTGTATCAACACGACCTATTTTACAGCAATATATATGTGTGTAAATAGAGCCCACACAAACATGGATATGCCAATGTGTACGTGTTCATACAGAGCACAGGTATGTGTCATACATACAGGCCATGTCACACCATGGCTCTGTAAGCAACAGAGGTCACTGTAAGACAGGACAAAACTCCCTTTTAGCATCCACCAAAGACACCCCTGCTTATCAGCTTTCTTTTGATGTGATATTACCTGAAAATTGTTCTTGTTCCTGTGGTAGCAATGGAAGGAGGACATATCCACAAAAAAAAAAAAATATTTACATGAAATATCTTTGTTTGGGGAACAGATGAGTACTTTGCTCTGGAAATCTGTGGTGCCACTGGCATCCCTGTGGCAGTACTAGGCAGCACCAAAACAATTTCAGTGAACTCGTTTGCATTGGGCTGAGAGCACATGCCTTTGGATACATGACTTCTCTCTCTGGTTTTCCCAGCTGTCTTTACCAGCAACACTTTCAAAGAGCAGGGCAGCCCTTCTCTCTCCCAAATCCATTAATTCATTTTTCACTTAGGGCTTATTTTGGGTGCCAATTTGGAACCTAAAGGTGCTCTAGACACATTCCTTTTCTCTAACCAGCTCTGTTTCCTGTCATCCCTTGAATGTATTCGTGTGATTGTAACATAAGAGTGGCATAACACGAAAGGAGGCCCCACTGAATCACTACACAACACCAGCCTTCCCTCCAAAACTACAGCTCTCAGCTTCCTTGTGCCTTTCTGTGGCTAAAGGGAATCTAGGAAAAACATGGCTTTCTCCCAAATGCCTGGTGTTTCCACACCCCTAACTGACTAGGAGTTCAGTATAAGTCAATGTAACTCAGTGTAAAGAGATGAGGCCAGGCATAAACCAGTACTTTCTGCTGAAATGCAAAGTATACACAGTGCAAAGGTCACGTAAATTATTTGACCCTCTCTTTTTTTTTTCATGTAAACAGATGCAGAAACACATGCCAACATGAAATAGAAGCCAAATACATGCCATTCATGCCAAAAAATAAGTTATTAGGACATAAAATGAAATCGACATTCTCTATTCTTTTTACTTCAGCAACAAAAGATGCCTGGAAGCTCAAGAAGGTAAAGATTATCTCCATACACTGTGTAACACATTCTTCTCCCTGATCTTTTGCCTGAGCTTTGGTACTTACTTAATCACTGAGGTCTTTTTTTTTTCAGGAACATGAGCAGCCTTTAGCATGGAAGATATCTGACTGTGGAATCCTACATACAGTAAGTTTCACCTTAAAAAAGAGAAAAGAAAGGGACATTTTTGTAGCTTGTTTTATCTGATCAACATTTGTGCATCTGTGTATCTGACTTGTATTTTAACTAGTTAAATAGAAATTTCCTACTAAGAGAGATGAGTACTTTTTTCCTTGCTGAGACTGGCTTTTTTTTCTTTAGATGGAAACAGCCTCTGATGACCTCAACCTTCTCAGCAAAATTCAAATATGAATGTGTTCAGGTATGGGTCATGAACCTTTATACTGAAATAGGAGTCCACCTGTCAGAAATACATGTAGTAGATCACAATGGAGTTAAGGAACCTCTTAGAAATCTCCCACTTTCTTCAAAAAACATGGTATCACACAGGGAGATGCATAGCACTTGATAAGCAATAGGAGGTAGGAGTCTAAGGCTCTGCCCTCAATACCCAAAACCACTATAAGCAACTATACATCGACTAGAGGCAATTGTTTATTTCCCAAAGTTTGCAATTCCTAGGCCTTGGCCAAAAAATACTGGGTAACTCTAATTTATGGTTGCCCAGTAGAATCTCTTTGAGTTGCTCAAGCTCTTCTAGATCAAGTCCTCCAACACCACTGTGCTGATTTGCATTCCCCATATAGCCCAGGGATAAGAGATGCCACATCAGAATGATGCTGAGGAGCTGTTTGGTGCTGAAGTTATTCATGCCAAACTTAAACCAGAGTAAACTGGTTTGAATAGAGCCTCTTGAAGTGCAAAAAGGAAATTGCTTTCTCATTTGCCATGATACCTTTGACTATTACCTTCAGGTTAGTCAAGCTTACCTCCTTTCTTGTGGACCTGCTGATGAAGAAGTAAGCTTCTTCCACACCCTGGGGTTGCAGATCATTGACAGCCACTACATGATCTCCATGGTTAAACAAACATCCCAGTCTGTGAGGACCAGTCCAGTGTGAAATGCTGGGGTATGTGGAGGGTAGCAAGAAAGGAAACATTCAGGATATTCAGTCACTGCTCACAGATGGCAATGGCTGAACAGGATTGCATTTATGGTACTGCCCTCTGGAAATAACATACAGGTGGAATGACTTTGCAACTTTTTGATCTGGTTCTAGCTGAAACTAAGCTGCTTCATCCATCCAAAGGGCATCCTCCTAAAAGAGCACGTGACACTGACACTGCAGCATGTTAACAAGTGAGACTGGTGCTAGCAAGCTCACCAAAGTTGGGGATTCCAGTCTAAAAGCAGTGGCCCAGATTTGCTGTAGATGTTTTAGCCTGATGTTGGACTGATATGATTTCTGAAGTCATCCCAAGAGAATAAAATTAAAACTATTATCATCTGTTTTATCTATGTTATAACTGCCAGGATCAGGGATCCATTGCTGTCCAGATGGGACCCTTATGGAATGCCTGCTGGTCTCTGACAGACTATCCTTGATGACAAGCTATTTAGGATTAGTTGACCTGACAGTCAGGCATGGTGCTCTATTCCCTTCCAGAACAAGCTCACAGTTCTTTAAACATCAATTTCCGCTGAGAAGGCTCTGTAGATTTAGATGTAAGTTCAGTTATTGAGGTTATTTTCAGACTCTTTTGCAATAGTATTTTTTCTTCTTGCTGACAGTGACTGAAACGAAGTGACTTGCTATGCAGTGCACTTGATTGGTGTGAATATGAGAGCAGTAGAAAAAGAAGCATTCTCAGTCCTGTGTGTCAGTGAAAGATGAACAAGAAGGACAGGAATATGCATTGAGCATTTTTTCTCCTCCATCCTCTTTATCCTAGTCACTGATACAGAAGGTCTAGGGAGAACACTAAATTTCAGTGACACTACTAAGAGGATGCATATGCTATAGCCCATAACATCCCTGCCTAGCCCTCTTTCCTAGCACCGAACCACTGCTGCGATTAATTCAGAGACAATTGTCTGCTCACATCCAACTCGAGTCAGCTTGAGGCTGTCTTTACCCTACCTCAACTATATCCCCTCACTTTATCTCTGAGACACAGCATCACTGTGGTTCAAAGGTAAAAGTAACTAGCAGTAATTAAGTGATTTCACACCAACATTAGAAGAATAGCTTTTGTGGTGGGACTTTTTCACTAAGTATTACACAGTATGATAAGGGATCTTGATTCCATAGAGCCCTCTCCAACAGCAGTTGAAATAGAAACTCAAGAACATGAAGAGTTAGAAAGAGCAGAAAGGAATCACTCAAGTACCATCATGCACTAACCTTGCTCTCTTCTGCAGTGCCATAACTGTACATGGATGTCTATACTTGTACACTTCTGTACCCGACTGTCACTTATTCAGATCTGACAGGCACTGTCACAAGACATTCAGACTTACCATATTCGTCCTGCTGCTTCAGTAAATTTTAAGTAACTGTTAATATCAGCCAGGGGTAGAAAAATATCCAACTTCTGCAGCTGGGTCTCATCTGTAACTTGACTGTGAGAGAAAACACCAGAGACCATAGAATTATAGAATATCTCAAGGGGGACCCATACGGATTATTGAGCTCAACTCTCTACTCCTTGCAGACTACATAAAATTAAATGATATGACTAAAAGCATCATCCAGATGCCTCTTGAATGCTGACAGGCTTCACACACTCTACTGGCACCTCAGCTGAAACCCATGGACACGTCTGTCTTCTCTGCAACAAAATGGAGAAGACACTTACCTGAGCAGTATAGACAACTGAACCACTGAAAGTGGTAATGAATTTTGCCTTCTCTGGAGGGTTGGCTGCGGGCTGGTGCTGCTTTCTGGGAATTCTATGTCTTTGTTTGCTTCCAAGTCTCTTGGACATGCACTGCTGTCCTGGCATTTGGGAGGAGATGGGAGCCCATCACGTCTGCATGTGAGTTGGCATCTCTCATCCAGCAACCTACTGAAGAGAAATGATGATAAAAAATTAAGTGGTTTGACCATTCCAGGGACTCTTGTGGTGTTTGAAGCTGGATCAAACAGTCATCAGTAAAGCAAAGAATAACAAGTTCTTGTAGAATATCCAGTGGACAGAATTAAAGCTAAGTAAAATAAACAGTCCTTCTAAAAACAGACCATAAATCTCAAAATAAACCTTGCCAGTATGTAAAAACTATTTATTAAGCCTGAAAACATCCCAGCTAACAGCATGCCTTGACAAAGAAACTGAGTATAGATTGTCGGCCTCGGCCGTAGTGGGTTCTGCAGGGATGTAAAGCTGTCCCCTGGGAGATACAATAACTCAGACATGCTTGAACTCATTTTAGCTTTTTTCGATGAGCCTTATGATGCCTGGAGCTGACTTCACACCATGCCCCAAACAAGACTGGGGATAGTACCAAAAGCTGTTCTTGGTATGTTTTAACTCGGATGACATAATTTTATAGTAATGCCCTCTGGGGGCTTCCAAAGACAAGCTTGAATAAATCTGTTGGAATAAACTAGTTAGTGTGTCTGCATTTCCAGTTTCCTCCCATGATATGGCATAAGATCTGACTGTCTCTAGATGGCAGGCCATAGCCAAGAGATACTGACCAGTCCTCTGGCTCAGGAGGTGTGGCCTTACTGTGTAGGCACGCTTCTCTTTAGTATTCATTGCTGTATTGTGGAGGTTGTAAAGTTTCCTTGTGGCACTAATACTGTGACACAAAGTTTAGGTCTTTTTTTGTGACATGCCAAACACTGTAGCTTCAAAATACACAGCATCAAATCCCTTCTTTCAGTGGGCAAATGTGAGGAAGGAGATGACTGAACTCACATAACTTCTTAATGGAAAAGTAAGGAGCTAATGCCCCATCTCTACTTTTCTCTTTTAACCACTAGATAATGCTGCCTGCTTGGAGAGTGCCTGTCCGAAAGGTTGTTGGAACTTGGCTGCAGTGTCTCAGTAAAGTGGTGGACTGTTGGGTCATGAAAACCTAGAAAAAGTATGAATCAACAAAAAGTACTGCATCCTATAGTGAGAGCCTGTCTAAATGCATGAGTTTGCAATGTGAGCTTAAATTTCTTGTTGATGAGTTTGAATCTGACTCCAGTATTCCTCTGAGTTCTGAATTATCTGAACCAAGACCAAACAAGGACTCATTCAAACAAGATGCAGCATCTAGACCTTGTTATCTTAATACCACAGACGTCAGCTCTATCTGTCCTAAAATGTCACTTAATTTGCAAACCTTAATGAAGTTGTTACTTACAGTGATTTCATTGACATATAAATGTTCTCCTTTACTGGGTTGTTTTGCACTGGTTTCTCTTGCACAGGGACATCAGTTCCAGCTGTAAGGTCAGGCTTTGATACTTCAGCAGCGCACTGTCAGAAACACATAACAACATGAGATGTTAATATTATTGTTCTGCCTACGGGGAAAAAAAAATAATCTTAATTTCCTTAGTTTGTTTAGTGCTTGTGCTGTTTAAACACATTGGCTAATATAGATTGGCCTTCCCCAAATAAGTCAAAGGTATTTGAAAGTTACAAGTTGATGGTGGTATTATTAACACTGTCAGACTAGGATGTAACCAGCTATTTTCTAAAGTACTACCCCCCCCCAAAAAAAAAAGTTACATTTTAATGTAAGCAGACTGAAAAAAGAGACTTGTACTTTGTGTGTGCTTAACTTAGAGCACTTAGATTACATAACAAAATCATATTAGTAATGTTATTCAGTCAGATGTACAGTCTTGGGAGAGACTCCGGGACTTCTGCAGAAAACTGACCACTTAGCGTCTCTTGACCACTAAGTACATGGGAAACTTAGAGGAACTAGCCTCCCAAATTAGCTGTCAAAATTTGTTTAAAATTAACAGAATGATTTCTTCTGCTCCCTTGTTTCCCAGTGAAATGTAGATACTAAAACGTACCACAGCGTTTTAAACGCACTGCTTCATTTTATGAAGCTTACTGATGCTTCAACAGAATTATATTTTAAAAAACATAAAACTAATGCACTGTTATATTCTCTAAATGAAGTTTTCACTTTCGGAAAAAACCCCCCACCCTGTTATACAATAGTCAAAAGCCATTTACAATGAAACAGTCAATTTGGGGACTTTCAACAAAATCAGCAATGTTTTTGTCAAAATGCCACTTTCTACCAGAAAGATCCTTTGAATGAGTCTAGTGTATTTTTTCTTGTATAAATGAAAGCTCTATTACCTACTGCTTTATCTATGTATTCCTTTTGCAAGGTACAAGGGCTTCCTCATACCAGTTCCTCTTTGGCTCATTAAATGTCTCCTGTGTCCTTGGAGCTGTTAACAAACCAGCAGAACTCACAACTGATAAACTACCTGTGCTAAAATATTGCTGGGAGTTTGGTAATAATCTTCTTCATCCTTTTGGATGTTTTCATCTGTATCTGATGGCAGCAGATTTTCCTCACTTCTTCCCAGAATTTTATCCTGCTAAAAGAATGGTTTTGTATTTAAAGGGATCAGTTATACAGATTAACATGTATTTTTCCATTTACATGGAGAAGTAATAGAATCAGCACATATTCACAGAAAACACGGGTAGACATGTTTCTTCTTGAAGTAAGATATGCTCAGAGAAAGCCTGTTTTAGAAACAAGGTTTCTATATTTGTGCTCCTTCCTGTATTTTTGAAATTCAATGCACACAGACAAAACTCGTCACTGGTATTAATACTTCTCAGAGATGGATTTGTGGTAACCAGGCAGTTGCAACTGATTGCATGATCACAGCCTGTTATTTTGTTTAAAAATGAAGTGGGTTAAACACTTCATGTATGAATCTGGATGAATTTAGGGTCACTTGTATGGAAAAGATTTTTTATTTGCAATTCAGTCCTTACACTAGGAAAAAAATCTGTAGGAAATCTAGGAGTTGATTGGGGTATATTTGTCCTTTGTAAGCAGCTTTTAACTGCTATCAAGTAAAGAATGAATTTGGGATTTCCCTGACTAATGAGAAATCTATTATCTCATACTGCTCTATGAACAAGAAGATGCCCAAAAGACTGGAGATCTGACACTGAACCCTTTGTATCCTGAGTGATATTCTGCCTTCATAAATACCAGAAACATTAAGTTTGAGGCAATTTGGTAAGTCAAGGAGAAGTTAGTCCCTTCATCAAGTTTACCTTTCTAAGTCACAAAGATAAATTATTTATTTTTGTGTCTCCTTGTTGACTTCACTATAGTGAAGAGTATGGTAATTAGTATTTAGCTGCTTCCCAATGCAATTCTCTATGCCATGTTTGTGATGCAACTGTTTTTTATCTCTACACTTACATCTGTGGTTTCCATGGTGATCGTTTTAATAATTGCTAAATATGCCATGAATATATTACTGTTTTCAAGGAAAAGTAAATTAAACTAATTACTTTCTTACATATAAAGAGAAGAAACTGGCATTGAATATAAATTAAGGATGATTAATGTATTTTTTTCTGTGTTGGTATGAATGACATTAAAGGCAACTCACGCAGCAGGAGTCAGAACAAACCTCCAAATGGTCCTTCAAGAAGTGCAGAACAAAACCACAGCAGAAACAAGACTGGCTCTGTGGTCATGATCTGAAGTCATGAATGAGTTTCCTAGTGTCTTTTTAGGGGCTTTGGACCAATCAAGCAAGTAAACATTTGGGGAGAAGGAGAAGAGAAAATGATTGTATTGTCTTGAGATTCTCCAATTCCTAAGAAATCTCAAAGAGCAGACAGCACTCATCAGCTTTCCAAACTGAGCTTTCAGTCACTGACAGTGGCTATCTTTTGCCAACTGCATAGTGTTTCTCCTTGCACCATCACAGATTATAGGGATAATGGGAAGAAGAAGGATACACTGCAGCAGTCCTGTGCTTCCCTAAAGCAGTTCATCAGCATCTCCGTTCCTCCAGGTCTCTTACCAGCGGGGCAGTGCAGTCAGCCTCAGTGTACAGTTTTTCTCAACTGAACAGCTAGACAAGTCCTTTAAGTGTCTGTTGAACCATAATATGGATTTACATTAGAGAGAAAGTACACTGTGGAGAAAATTGGCTGTAGCACAGGATGGAAATGATACCTGCAGAACAATTGAGTAATTGTTACCTATAAGTTCCTTAGGGAAAGTTATGTATTGCCCTTAGACAGAGGAACCTCTCTTTCAGAAAATCAGATATGTGTAACAGATCCCAACAAGGGTGCCTAGGTACAGGGTGGTGTAAGTCAGGGCTCTTTATTTTGATGTATTTTAGATATTGAATGGTGTGTATCAAAACAGCTGAAGCTGAATTGCTCAGTCAGATGTGGTTTGGTAGCTTCAAAGTGCGGGTTGAAAAGGAGCCAGGTCCCCAGACCTCTCCAGGGTCCCTGCCAGCAGGACTAGACTCACTGACATGGAGAGGCCCATTTGCATGAGTGACGACTCCTGAACAAAGTGTTCTCGAGATCTGGGCCTGGATGAGGGAACCACCGATAAACAGCAAAATACATCAGATGTTTGGAATGGGAAGTCATACTTCTAAAAGGAAGTAAATACAAGGGATTAATCAGGAAGTCAGTTGTCTAGATGTCACTGAGCAGAGAATAGGTCTGGAGATGTTAGCAGATGCTAAACTTATGAGGAAAGTGGAATATTTTTATCGAATGAACAAATATTTTTGTTTCTTGTTCTCTGTACAACAAGGTTATTTATTTTCACACATGCCAAAACAGAAATATGAGCTTCCTGCTATTCCCTCTGCTTAGGCCAGAAAGGTAAAATCCAAATTCCTTTTTTGAACTGTCATGGTCAATCTGTCTTAGTCAGAACAGCTGCAAATAATATATGCCATCTCAGGCATCGTAAGTATGAGAAGAATTAATGAATAAGACAGAAAAGGCATACACAAGAAAGAGACACAAAGAGACCCTTGGTATGCACCTGGAGAAGAACTAGTTAAAATCAGACCAAGGGTTAACTCAATGCGTTTCAGAGCTCAGAATCACAACTGAATTACTGCAGCTTTATAAAGTACTGTGCATCAGCTGAGCTATGCTGACTGCCATGGCATGGCAATGTAGTTTCAGCTATTTGCACTTCTTTGCACTAAATTTAGCTGTGTTATCTCATACATATTGCTGTCAGCCTATATACAAGGGTGGTGATTTCAGCATGATTTACCACCCTGTTAGCTGTGATAGCAGAACAGAGTCTTTGCCCTGTATCTTAGCTACTCCAGATCATAGTCTAGTGCATAAACTGTCAATAAAAGATGGGTTTAAACTGCAAACTGGTGTGATAAGTCTTGGTTGTGCCTTCTGTCCTCTTGGCCCTGCTGCAAAGGCAGTAATCCATGGCAGAGGAAAACTGCTGCAGGCGCTTGTTCAGGGAACACAGGTCAGAACATTTAGCCAATAATACATGATAACATTCATATTTTATCTTTCCAAACATTCCTGCCAAATATGGAAGTGAAATTACTTGAAGTCATATTTATGCTGACAGAAGGTCAGTTCTGAGGTGTGCCTCAATTTAGCAAGCCCTTGTTTTGTAGTTCAGTTACATTGACTCAATTGCTACTGGCAAAGGCTGAAGAAATAAAGTTGTTCCATTTAGGAACAACTGTGGTGCAGCTGAGAAATGTGGTGGTAGAGTCAAATTCTCAGTCAGTGCAACTTCTGAGTTTTCTTCATCAAGTTTGTAAGAGCTGCTGTAAGTTGCAGTTGCTGCACAGAAACTCTGAGGATCTGCCTCCAAAAACAAACAGGGTATTTCAAGCAAGTTCTTAGAAGATTATTTTCAGTGCTAAACAAGAAAACAGACTAAATATCTAGGCAATTTCATAATGAAAACCAACTCAATGTGCTGGGAAAGCAGGTGGATAATCTATAGTCACAAATACCCAGGTGAGATAAAAGCCAATAATCACTTCTGCAGACTGAACAAGACAAGAGCTGTTTGATATTTTTCTGCTCACCAGGCTGGGAAACACTCCTCTTGGTGAGTCACACTGAGCCTGATGAGGGCCAGGATCTGAATAAGGCCTGTTCTTGTCTTCTGAGCAGCCGTTCTCCTGAACACCAAAGAAAAAAGTTGATTCCTCATAAAGACACAGTGGAGGTGCCTTCACCCACATTCATCTTCCTCTAGCTGGTCCATTTACACACAGCTTTGTGACTACAGAAACCCAACAATTCCTTGGCTGCTACATCACCCTGTTACCAGGGGATGGGGACTGCAATTGCTTGAGAACAGCAGCAGCACTTTCCTTCCTTTCTATTTTAATACTGAGGGGAAAATCTGTAAGGCACAGAGGAACTGGACCTGAACTCCCCTCTAAGCCTGGAATGAGAGAGACAAAGAAAAGCACAATTACAAAACAGAAGGAATGTGGCTAGAAGCTGCCAAGACAATCATCACATGCCTTTGCCATGACAAGGTGTCAAAGTAAATCTTCAGAGGCTTACTTCATGCCCAGTAATCTTTGCCAGTCAGTTTAGACAGCCAATGAATATAATTTCTCACTGCCTTTACTTACATGCAGATATTACTCAAAAGAATTTCCTTCATGGGGACCCTCTGATGTTATCACCCAGGTCTTACTCAGGAACCCCCACCAGAGAGCAGAACAGACCACCCAGGTATGCATTGCAGAAGATCTGAAGAACTTTTGATGTAAAAAAGCAACCATAAAAATGAAATTTCACAGTCATCCCTAAGCACAGACTTATTATTAAGGATGGCTAATCTGTTTACCTTCTGGCAGCTTTGCCTTTCTGTGAAACTGGTCATATCTATGGAATTTAAGACTAGTGGCAAAGAGGAGGGCCGGCTTCTGACTCCCGGATTTGGAAGATCTTGGTTCTAGAAATAAGGTAACAGCAGTCTAAGAAAACAGGCACCTGATAGGTGTGGTCTACAATATGCCAACACATCCTACTAGTCACATTTTCCTTCTAAGGGCTTAGAGAGATTGTCTACATTGCATTTTTAAGGGAGACATAAATTTGCCCTGCAGGTACTTTGAGCTGACTGGAAGCTGCAGGGATGTTAGTAACTTTGTGCCAAGTCTGAACTGGTAGGCCTGGCTGGCTGAAAACTTGGGCCTGAGATTGAACTAACAAGGCTTCCAGCTGGTTCATAACATTGGCAGACTAGATGTGGTTTGGTTTGTAAAACAATATGTAAATATAACAAAAATACACAGGGTGAGGATAACACACAAGTTTTCATTCTAATGCATTAAAGATGCAGTTCATTGAAGCGTAATATCAATCATCTCCTAATTTCCATAAGGTTTACTCTTCAAAGAGATTTCTTCAATGTAAAATCAATACCAGCACAGACAGACTGTGCAATACCTGCTTAATGCACAAGGCCAGGGTACAGGATTTATATGGAAAATGAATGAATGAATGAAAATTCTGAATAATCAAGCCCAGAGCCAAGTTTCAGGGCAAAAATCAGGTAAATTCCTTTGCAGTTTTCTAATGGAAATAGAAACATCCTTTTTTTCCCTAAAATCAAGTACAGTAAAATGTCACCTGAGGGCAGCATCCACCTTGTTTGTCCTCCCTGCAGACTGAAGATATCAGAGTCACCCAGTCCTCTGTTTCCTGCCTGTAGGTTGGAACATAAGAAATGAAAACTTATTGACAGGTAACACACAAGGAAAATCCATTTGTCTACACACTTCTTCCTAAAGGGCTAAAAATAACTGCACCTTTTTTTAAGAGACTGCTCGGGTGGTCATAGCCAGATGGCAAAGTTTGACCTCAGAGAGGTTCAGCCCAAGGCTAGGAACTAAAAGTTTTGCAGGGGGGCTGTGTGTCTGTGTGCAAGAGACATGGAGATGTGGGATGGTGCTTGCTGCTTTCTTTACTGTGTATGAGGCTGCTCTGCTGAGTCCTGCCACAAAGAGAGTTAACAAGGCTTGGGAATGCGTTTGGATGAGGAGGATGAGAAACATGCCATGGAAGGACCCTTGAAGCCCTGTTTCATGCTTGCAGTGTATTTAGTTGGATTAATTCTGGAATGCTTCCCACTGAGCAAGGGGTGTGAGAGCAGAGCCTCAGGGGAAGGCGTTGGGTGGCACGCTCAAGTAACACTCAGGTATGTGTTTTTCTTCTGGGCTTATCAGAATTTCACACATCAGCTGCTCTTCTGCATAAAGGCAAAAAAAACCCCCTGATACACTCGTGACTGGGAACCTGAAGAGGAGAAGCTGAGAACCAGCAGCATAGGAGCAGTGTGACAAACATCCTCCCTCGCCTAACTGAGCTTTGGCTCATCCCCTTGACAGAAGCAGTTTCTGCCTCTGCTGAGGACTGAACTGCAGCCTGGGAAAGCAGAGACCATGCCACCCTGCTGCAGCAAAGGCCCTAGTCAGTACTTCTGGGAGGTGTTTTCCCTTGGGAGAACTTTTGCCTTCAATCTGCTTCCCTTGATTAATAGCCTACTCTTCAGGCAATATTATTTCCTGCGATTTATCCATAAGGAGCAGAAGCTTTTCTAAGTCCCAGGATATGATGGGTGAGAAGACAAAGGTCTCTGTGCTCTTTCTTGATCTTTAACTGGTACAGTTTGAAATGGTGCTGCCACACTGATGTACCACCACTGCTATCCCCACTCCCAACCCTGTGTTCCCACTACTTTCAGGTATTGGATGTAATAGTGTGGCTGCAGGGAAGGTTTAGCTCACCTGTCTGAACCAGCAAAAAATTAAGTCAGCTACAGGGGGAGGGGGGAAATTACATAGAAAAGAGCTGTTTTCTGTTGGATCAAACAGCTGAATCATTTCATCCCATGTAGCTGAGACACATGAAGGGAAGGGAGCGACTGTGAAGGAGCAGGACCTTGCCTTGGGGCAGCAGCTTAGTGTTCCATTGGCTTAACTGTAATGTCATACTGCATTTGCACATCTATGCCTACCTGCTGTCCCCAATGAGGTAGTAACATCTGTTTCCAGTACCGATGGACATCACCTGCTCAGGAAGGCATTTAAACATCTTCCTCACTGTTTCCATAATTTCAAAATTTCTTATGCCAACTTCAATACTTATGATTCTGTTAAGATAAGCATATGAAACATCCTATATAGTTATACATACATATGTACAAATACACACACACACTTATATGTGTATATGTGCATATCTTACTCTGAGCACAGCATAGTATGATGAGATCTGCATGGGAAAAGATAAACATTTTTCCACAGAAAAAAAGCTCAAGAAAATAAGCACAAATATTCAAAATGGATGGCCTTTCAGTGAAGAAAACTTCCAAGCAAAAAAGAATTAAATCAACTTTTGCAAAGATTTGGATTTTGGATTCTCATTTCTGGAAAAGCAGGCTGTTAGTCTAACACAGAACCTTGAAAATAAATGATAGTAAGAAAAATTTCTTGAAGTCTTTTAACCACTATAAAACAATAAATTTGATTTGAAATTAATTGTATATTAATAGTGTTTTAATGGAGGGGAAAAGGAACAGAAGTACTCTTAATGGATACTTGAAGCATTACTTCCATTAACTTCCAAGAAGTTAATAAAAACAATAACAACAATAATGATGCTAATAATGTAACCACATACCACTGAGCAAGCTGCAATATTTTTGAAAGCTTCACAAAGTAAATCCATTTAATGGAAGAAGCACAACAGCAATGTTGTTCAGAGACCTCCATGCCAAACAATTCCAGGAGCCTAGAGTATATTAAGCTCCAGGTCTGACAGGGAAAATCTCTGCATTTTCTGATTCACTTCCAAGTATCTAACACCACCTGTGACATGGTAAAGGGTGCTGGTACAAAGCCAGTGACACCCAGTCTTGCTGCAGCGGGCACTATGCTGAGAGGAATGAAATGACCAACCCAAAGGAGCCAAGCAGAGCAATTTCTTGATGGAGTAAGAGGCAGAGGGGCACCAGCACCAGCCCAAAGGGCCACATGAAAGTCAGGAGACCTCTGCACAGCCTGCAAAGCACCTTTGTGAAGCTGTAAGTAGGGAAAGGTTGTGTGACACAGGTAAGAGGGGCATAGCCAGTCCTCATTCACATGTGAATGAATGCATAGCACTGTCCTCACAGGAGATAAAATATCTTCCGCTGCAGGAATACAGCCTTTAGGGTCATGGAGCCAAGATGTCTGGTTTGCAGATACGATATCACCATGATCACTCACATAAATGTATTAAATTTTAATAAAGCAATTGAGGATTTTTACTTCTACCTACTGTAAGCTGCACCCAAAGCCTACAAAAGCCTGCAGGACTCTTTTCTTGACTTCCGTGAGATTTGAATCAAGAACCTAAGTCAAGAAAAAGTGTCTGTACAACCAGTGGCCATTGAACAGTGTTGATACATGAGTTAAAATAAAAAAGGTGATGCATTTGAGTTACATACTGATCAACAGCTATGGAGCCTTTTACATGCTGGCCTTTTAGATACTTCAGGATGTAATTCCCCTTGCTGGATTTGGACAGGACGAAAAGACGCCTTTTCCAGGAATTCTGCCGAAGAGAAAGCAATTTGTTTGTCATTAAAATTCAGGATAGCAGATATAACGGCTGCTTGTTGAAGGATTGCTGAAATATGACTAATCTGTGTTGGTATACCTGTGAGCTGAAAAGTTGAAGAGGTGGTGATTTGATAAGGAATCCGTGCTTGCGGACTCCACCTTCAGGGCAAAATGTATTTTGAATTCTCCCTAATCAAAAAGAAATGAACAGCACCATTACTTAATTTGTTGCCAATTAATCTCTTACAAAGACCTGCTTGAACTGGAAATTGTTGCTGAAGGCTGGGTTTCTGTGCTCAGATGGCCATAAACCATATTACAATTAGAGAAGAGAAACACAAATCAAGGCTATAAAACACAGGTCCAGGCCCTGTTTCCCTGATATTAATTTTATGGCTGACAACCAGCCCAAACTGTAAGCAAATGATAGTGAAAACGTAGAAGGCTCAGAAGATATCATGAGCCTCTGTCTTCTTTAAATGGTTTTACTTAAATTTGGAGTCTGGTCTTATTTAACTTCATAATTAGTGATCTGAAAGACAGTAAAGGCACCCCTAATGCAATTCATAGATGGCATTCAATCAGCTAAGAATAGATTATCTTGCACTGTGAATCGTGATGTCACAACAGGAAAAAGTTATACAAGTAAAGTTTGAGCTAAAACCTTGTGGGGAAAATACTTAAATGTATTTGTTCATGATCCTTCATACTTTGTGACCAGCTATGGTTTAAGATTCACATTTTTTAATCACTGGTGGATTTCTGATCCAAATTCACTTTAACACAACAAAAGGAGTGGCAATCTCATTCAATTTTTTAAGCATGTAAAAAGCATGTAAACCATGTGTGGTATATTAAGATTTTTTAAGAAACCAGTGACTGAAAGGAACACAGGTAACCTCAGTTTGGATCTTCTAGTAATGAACAGCAGGCAATATGCATAACTTCTGGAAAATTTAACATGAAAAACTTTGTGGTCTTAAGTGGAGGCAAGGCTTCATCACCAGTGCCTTGGAGATACTGACTGTACCTTCCAGTTCTTAGTTAATTTTTAAGGATTTTAAAATTTTTAACAAATATCAGTTCAATGTCTTTTTCAGGGACAAGAAAAATCCTGCTATGAAGGGAAACACTGCATGTAAGACAGTTCCTTTAAGGAGGGAAGTAGAGGGACAGAATGATCACAAAGTGTACGTCCAGATGAGATCTCAAAATTTCCTAGTATGCTATTTCCCCCTGTTTTTCATCTACTGTTTGCCACAAAATCCTTGACAGCTGGACGGCAAAGAGAATGGCATCATACATTGACAAGAACAGATTGAAACCAAATTCAGCCTTACTACTGCCAAATCTTAGTAAAAAAAAAAATAAATTGGTACCTGCAGAATTTCTCTTATTTGTAGAAGCCATCCCGTTGATTTCTTCACCAAGATATTAAAGAGAACAAAAATATTGAAGCTAATTCCTTTCACTTTGCTTGCTGCTGAGCAGCATTTCACTGCACACACAGTTGCTGCTGAGAAAATAGCAAATACCTTACAAATGTTAATTTTCATGTTGATGATTTAACTATATAAAATAACCATAGGAAAATATCTAATAAACTATATATAATTAGTCATTACACATAATATTTTGTTATAGATTAAATTATATGTTATATGCTATGCTATATTTATTATAATGTAATAATAAAATAAAAAATAATAAATATTATACAGTTATATAAGTCAAAGGTATCATTTGCCTAGAAATGTAGAGAGCTGGCATCTGAACTTCATTTTGCCCTTCCTTTTGCACTAGACACAACACCTGTAACCAAGGAATACTGCATCCACATATGGTTCTGACACTGCTTTGCCAGTGTGAAGAATCCCATGTAAAACTGGCATAGTTTGGCCTAGAGAGTTTGAAGTCTATGCAGAAAATACAATAATAATACTATGGAAATTGTAATAACTTGCAAGTCTGTAATATTCTTAATACAATGTCTTTTCAAAAGTTTCTCTTTTTCTTACCCTAAAATTCTTTGCAAAATCAAATCTTGGCTGGAAGTTGTCTATAGCTACAAGGAGGTTGCACAGACCCAGGTGTGCCATTGAAGCTGCAGAGCTTCTCCTGGGAAAATGGGATGGATTGCAAGTGCTGTTCTCTAGTTTTTGCTGAGCTCCCTGGCTGGACTGAGAGATTTAAGGGCTTTCCTTTGCTTCTGTTTCTTCAGTGATTTACCCCATGGTGCCAAAAGTAAACATGGTACTGTCAGGATCAATGCTCAGAAATGGGGTGGGTTACACACAAAATTTTACCTCTGACACATAACTAAAGCTATAGACTTCCACACCTCCTGTTCCTGGCTGTAAATGAGAATGACCCTCTGAAAACTTAGGCCCACTGGAGGTCTCTGCAGAACATTTCTGCCTGTACTTTTGGAGGTTTTTTTTAGGGAAACCTTAACAATTTTTGCCTTTTTTGGAGAAAGATTTATTGTACAAACGCCGTGATCGACTGTTATAAAAATTTACTTCTAGGTTTTTCAACTAATGCCTACAAAAAAAAAAAAGGACTAAAAAGTAATTTCCAAAACTAAAAATGACTACACACAAAGTAAATTTGCTAGTGCCAATAGTAGAGGCACATGCCCAGGGTTGCAATGAAAGGTAATGCATTATGCTGTTCACTGTGACTGACAGAGTCACCTCGACTGGCAAACTATGCAATCATTACAAAACAATGCTCCAAAAACCTATGACAGGATAAAAGTCTCCTCTGGATGTCAGTAAAAGGCAAGATTTGCAGGTGAGAAGACAAACACCCATGAGGTTACAGTTGTGCTATTTCACTCTGCATTTTTTGGGAAAAAGCTTTTAACTGCTACATTTAACTGTCTTTTCAACAGAAAACAACATTTTAAATAAGTTATGTCTAATTCAAAATAGATAATGCCAATTCCATGATTATACCCTCTCAGATTTTTGTATGTCTGGTGTTAAGAGATTTGATTGCTTCAAACCTTTTGAAATGCAATGAGACACTTCAGTCAAAATGCAAATAAAATGCTTTAAATTTTTAAGATGTAAGCTATTATACAACTTCAAAAATATAATACCAAGATCAGGTAAACAACCTGTGTTAATACTTACAGGCAAAATGACTTCATGGTGAAGAAGGTTTTAGAGAAATACATCTTTAAGTATATCCATATTCCCTGTATTGCCTCCTGCAGCAAAACACAGTATGTCCTTGCCCTGCATTGTGCCTGCCTTCTTATAGTCCATGTAGAAATACAAACATCCTGAAATATGACCCACAAGGAAATGCCTGTCTCTGCATGGGAAGCAAATTAAAGACTGTTCTGGAGAGGGGAAATCCAGATTAATATTCACTTACAAGCAATGAAAAATACGAATATTTGAGGCAGTGATAAATGTCTCCCATACAGAAAAAACCCTGGAGACATCTTGTTTCTGTTGGTTCAGCTTTCTGAACAGTCCTCTTCATTTCCCCTGAGCTGTGTCTAAAGCATAATATCCACCCATGACTGAAAGATAAAATAACATTAAGAACTCTGAAAGATCATACAAGCACCATAAAATGTAGCCAACTTCAAATTTAAAGAATTGCATTTTCTAAAACATACAGCAGTGAAGCAGGATTTCCTGTGCTGCCTGTATCATGACAATCTACTTCATTGTAGTGCCAGTGTAAGTTTTGGTTATAATAAACAAATTTTTGGGGATTCTCTCCTGAAACAGCATATCGTTAATGATAGTGGTTTTACACAATAAACCATTTGGCTAATCCTGCAGATGTCAAGGGAATTGCTTTTAGATAGAAAATAGTTCTAAATTTGATCAGGAAAAAAAGCTAAAATGCCCTACAGCTTTTAAGTTAGTATTCAACTACCTGGCCTTGCTCGAGTGAAAGAGCCATTCTGAATGGGTTCCTTCAGGCTCTTCGGCTGGCACAGCCCTCAGCACGTAAACATCTCCAGTCAGAGATGATGTCCGTCAGTAGGAAATTTTCTTTTTAAATAATATTAATGTTTTTTTGATCTAAAGTAATGTTCCATCTAGCAGAGACATTGGTCTCGACACAAGAGAATGTTTTTTTTCTTTCACTACTACTCTAAGTTATCTTTCCTCTCTGGCGGCGTCTTTGTGTATTTTATGCTGATGTTTGTATATCTCATACCCTAGAACTAGCCCGAAGGTTAAGATACAGCCTCCATTTCTTCCTTTTGTTGTCAGCCAGCAGGTAGAATTGTTGTGATCCTTTGTGCCACACCATCAGCTTTTTCCAGGAAACCTTTGGTCTGCCAGGAGAGCTTTTGCAAACACTGAGAGTGCCTTGTTGGCTTGCCACGTTACAGCACTGAAGAGCTTCAAATCACATTCCTACTTTGTTTTCTTAGACAGACAGTTACTTTTTCTCCTATTTGTTGGAAAGTCCCAAGCTGCTCTCATTTAGAGTCCATCATGGCAAATGTATAACAAAATCTGACACAGGCTCCTGCTGCCCACCTTTTTTTTTTTTTTCTTTTAGGTAAGTCCAGTAAGGAAAATAGTTTTTTTACTCATAGATGAAACTCAGTATTGTTAACTCTCATTCTTCCCCAGCAGCCCCTTGTAGGCTTGACCAGGGACTATTTTTAGTAATTTTTATATCTCCCCAATGCTTCCAAGCTAAGAAAAATTTGTTAAAGTTTTTTAAAAATAAAATACCATTCTCAAAGAACATTTAAGAAGAAAAGCACCACACGAGAGGAAATGTGTTCCTTACCTGTTATGCTGTTACAGTCCTTTACATTATTAAAAAAATTAAACTGCCTTATTTCAGAGACCCTACTCGCTCCTTTACTGTTCCCAAGGCTCTCTGGCTTCTGGGATGTACTTTGGTTGGTTTCACTTCACCAGATTGAGTGACAAATATGCAGATATTCACAGGAAATTTTTTTAAAAAAGGCCTTTATTGATGTCATGCTCAATATGTTCATAAAACAACCATTTATTTAATTTAAACAACTGTAAATTTGACTTATGAAAAAAATATATGTCTCACTATGTCACAGTATTTGTAAGAAAATAAACTTAACAATTTTGTAACTTGGCCTTAATAGTATGTACTTATTTTCTTAGAGGATTGCAAAAGAGTATAGAGTACATTAACTGGGAAAAGAGTGAGCAACTCATCATTTATCAGTTTAACCAAATAATTAAATTCACTTTTGTGAGCTACCTACCAACTATAAAGAGTATATAAAAAGTAGGAATATAAACATCACCAACGTAACTCTGAAACACAAAATCAAGACCATACAGTAACTAAGAAGGCACTTCTGGTTTCTGATTCAAGTAAGCATTTACAGTTTTGGCAAAACTCCTCACAAATAGAAGTTAAATCTAAACATACATTTGTTAATGGAACATATAATTCTATCATTTCAACATTAAATTTTAATGTTTTACAACAAAGCCTTGCCATTAACCTTCTGAGGGTTCAAAAATTCTGAATCAACAAGCAGACATTCTCTTTTCTGCAAGCAGAAAAACTGCAATACCAATTAAAGTTTGCCAATCTTTTACAAGGGTTTTGAATTTCATTTTTCTATTTGTTACATTTCCATATTGTTCAGGTAAATCACCTATAAATATTGATTTTTTAATATATTCATCTTATGCTAGAGTGACAACTAAGTAAATTGACTTCCAGGTCAAGCACAGAGCAACCATTAGCCTTCATTACTAATGTTCATTAAAAGGAAATTAGACTAAGAAACACCCTTTTAAATAGCTACAAACTGTCACTGGACATACCCAATAATATGATGGTCTTTGGAAATTTCTGAGGAGATTATGGTTCCATGAGCTAGTAGTAAAAGAGAAGGAGTCTCACAAACTTTTGTTTTATTCTTAATTTACAATCTGCTTTCTGGGAAAAACCTTTATGGGTCAGGAAGGTGATTCTCAGAACTTGTTCAGCAGCCAAATATTGTGACAGCCACAGTAACAGAAATCAAGATACCATAATTTTGAGTTGTGTAATGTGCAGTCAACCATATTCTTCTTCCTAACAGCTGTCAGGCTGTCCCCCAGCATTTACTTCTTTAAAATATTGCATATTGTCCATCCATCAGATACTCGAGCTTATACGATACAAAAATCTAGTGTTATTACATTTCTGTTACTAAAAATGTATTGACTCCTGTTTATAGTCAAATCTCCACCCAACACCATACCCTGATCTTTCATTGCTGGCTGCATTAAAATACACTTTCAGAAGTAAAGTTCCTTTGTGAGCATGGAGACCACACAGGGAATCTGCTTCTTCTCACTGAAGCGTGGATCATCCGACTGGGATTCAAAATTGGTGGCAACCACATAGTTGACCCGTGTGAGGATCTGCATGATCTCAAGTTGTTTTCCATGCTCATTTAGCACAGAGCACAAAGACTGCACAAACCAGGAGCCTCTTCCAGGATTTCTCCAGGAGTAATAACCTTACAGGAAAGACAAGTAAGAAAGTACAGGGGATTTATTTTGCTCTTTTGTGTGAAAGATTCTGGGCAAAGATTAAAAATCCATACAAAGAAAGTTTAACTCTTATCACTTGTGTCACATACCCTACTTCATTAGAGTTGAGAATAATGTGTATTAACTCTCCAAACCTCACACTACTAAAGCACCATTTTACATTTGGGCATTTGGGAAACTGTGAGAAGTAAAATTTCACGGGTTTCCTCTCTAAGAATAAGTTTTGTGCTGTAACAGTTCCTCATCCTGCCTTCATCACATATTCAACACACTTACTAAACTGGGACATGGAAGGACAGGATTCCAAGAAAACAGTATTGCCTTTGCTGTCTGTAATCTCCTCTTTCCTATGCAGCCAGTGTAAAAGGGGTGGACACAACACACTGGCCCAATGTACACTGGGCGTTTGTGTTTTGTCCATCAATGTACAATGTGTCATCAATGAAGGTCCATCTACAATCCAATCAGTATGGATGATTGGCTTCTATCTCCACCCTGACCCTCTTTTCTTTACCTGGCACTGTGGAATATGCAAACAGGAAATCTGCTTCTACTGGGATTTTGTATCTCGGGTTGGCATCTGTTTCCAGAGTGTCATTTGCAGGTCCAGAGTCAGTTTGTATACCTTCATCAAATTCAGAGCCTCTGCATGCCTGAAAGCAGAGAAGACAAATAGAACTTGTCCAATAAGGAGAAAAAACCTGTTATACCAATAAGTATTCATCAATATTTTTAATAGATTCAGTTTTAAGCAGTACTTTGCATGTATAAGAAGCAGAAATGCAATTCTGGAGGATACCTAATTGTTCAGTGATAAAGTTACTGGCTTAATCATTTTAAAATATACATCCCATACAGTAAAGGGAGGTAAAGGTGTTGAAGATCAGTTGTTTGTCAAAGCCCTAGGGGAGCATTAGTTTATGCTAACCATGATTATTTTTACTAGTCTAGAGTCATTCTCAGAACTCAATTACATAATGCCTTGTGCAGTGGGACTTCTGGCCATTTACACTGGATTACACATTGGCATTGGTTCCTGACATGCACTGCTGAAGCACTGCATTTCACAAAATCACATCCTGAGATCATCTAGTCCCATCCCCCCCTTCTTAACCAGGGACAGCTACAGCCATCCAAGTGCATGTACAGTTGGGTTTGGAATATCTCCACAGGTGGAGACTCTACAGTGTGGGCAACTAGTTCTAGTGTTTGACCACCCATTTCAAGTATATTGCATTTTTAATATTTTTCCATTTTTTTTTTATTCTTAATTTTCTCTTAATCATGCATTCAGCTAAAGAGCACACTGGGACAACAGTCCAGGTTGTTAAGTTTCAGCTCTTGATCAGTAGTTTGACTGACAGCTCTTGCAAAAGAATAACAGTCTGACTGACTTATGTAACAGGGTTGGTTGCCTTTATTAGGATAATCTGAAAGGCTATGAAATAATCATTCCAAACTTATAATTAAAAGAAACATCATTTTAGTAGTATGAAGAGTCTAAAATAGACACAGTTTTCATTTTGAGGTTGAGGACTAATTGATAAAATAGACACAGTTTTCACTTTGAGGTTGAGGACTAATTGATGGAACAGCTTAGGGAAAACCACATCTGCTGCAAGTCCTGTACATATATAATACTATGATAAAAAAGAGACTTCATCCCTGTGGTATGTCAGTTAATAGTTTGAAACAGTGGTCTTCACAAGTTTAATCAATATGCAATTACTATATGATAATTTAAAAATGCAATATAAATTTTTAGGCTACTGAGGAAGGGAAAAATATTTCTTTCAGCAGAATTCATTAATCTGTAGAGGCAACCATAATTCAAAGAGACATGGACAGTATTATTGTTGTTGATAATCATGTACTGTCCTTAGCGCTCTCTGCACAAGAGGAGTTTATCTTTCTGCTTTGAAGTTCATATATTACCAAGAGAAACCATGTACAAAATTACAGTGATATTGTTCTTTACATCTGTGAAACTTGTATGTAAATTACCTCTTAAAAACAAACAATACAAGTCACCCACATACAACTTCTCTCAACACATTTTTTCCCAACACCTCCAGCGACATTCAGTAAATTAACCTACGAGGCTCTTCTAGAGCTGACAACCAACAGAGCATGTTCTCCCTACTGCAGCAGTAGGATACTATATTTACCTTAGGGCTATTACCTGAATGAAAAATAATTTGGGTTTGCCTATAAGGCTTTTACACTTGTCTCCTCTGAACAGCGCAGTCAAACTCTTGATAGCCATGGGTCCATCTGTGCCATAGATGAGTCCTTCTTCCCCATGGCTCAGAAGGATACAGGCAAAGCAAGCGGCATCGCTGTGGTTCTCCTCAGCAGCTACAAATCAAATACTTCTTAGTTAAAAGGCAGTAACATTTTAAATGACAATTATATTTAGCAAACACATTTTTTTGAGACTTAATATACACTGGGCCTCTACTGGAAGGCACGGGAAGGAGTGGATAAAGATGACACAACCCAGTTTTTACAATGTGATGAGTATCTTGAATACAAGGATACATCCTTCACTTGACTCTGAGTCTGGCCCACTGGAATCAATAGGCTGGATTCATTATCTAATATGACAAAGCTCCTCACTGAACACCCAGGATAGGTGATCACAAGAACACTGTGCATTTCTAAACTGATGCTGGAGAAAGAGGTAGGGAATTAAGCCTACCCTTAATTCCCTACCTAATCCCTTCAGAAACCAAATCCTTCTATACAGAAAATTGTATGTATGGGGCTTAAGCAATCTGTTCTACTGTAACCTTCTTTGAGAAGGCAGAAGATTCGGTGACTTCCAGAGGTCTTTTCCACTCTAAATTATTTTATGATTCTAAATTTTTACCTTGCTTCAGTAATTTCTCCATATCATCACGGCTTCGGTCATTGTACGTATAAACCTCAAAACCTAAGTTTTTAAAACTCTTAGCCAGATCTCCAGCATCTTTATCAGTGCCATTGCGTGTACCCATTCCTGCCGGAAAACAAAGAATACGGTTGACTGCACATTATACAACTCAAAATAATTCACGTGTTCAAAGGTAAATTTTTAGGTTTATAATTGGTAAACCTAAACAATGTCACGGTGACATGTTTTTAAAACAATCCTCTAACAGCAAAGAGAACAAATTGTGAGACTTTAAAAATAATGCAACGTTCAATGTAAACACATATCTTATCCTGAAAAATGCTGGCTTGCCTCCAGCACCTTGCAACATAGACCTCTGTGGATGATTCATCTCCTTTGGGTTTTGCAGTGTAACACAGGCATACAGCACCCCATGGAAAAACTGTTGAAAAGAGTCCCTGTGATACTCAATAAAAAGAACTGATATATAATCTTTGCAGAAAACAAATCCGTGTGTTTGCCAAGTGTATAGGAAAAATCCTATAAAGCTCATTGTAACACAAGTATCTGTCCACTTTGAAACCATATGTGGTCTGAAAAGTTAAATGCAGGAGTGTGAACAGAGCACAGGTACAGCTATTAGCTTTTGTAGCTCATAGCTGTAGCTCAGGGACAGAGAATTTATAACATGGGTTGCAGATGCCAAAGTTCAAATTTTAACAACACAGTCTTAAACTCTGGGATAAAGGTTTAGTTTGAAGTTGGTAGAGCAAGGAGACATGGTCTTTGAAACATATACTGCAAGGAAGTTGAAAAGAGTTACTCTAATGTAAGTTTTAAAGAACAGGAAAAGTTTAGGAACAACCATTTATCAGAAAGGATAAATACATTCATTAAAATTCCATGTCCTAAAACTAAAATGCATATTGATTATGCTCTCTAATGTGTATCTTCAAAGGAAGAACATTACCTGTTTTGTCCTCAAAATTTTTGTTGTTTATAATAATACATTTACCAACTTTCTTGTAGTCCATATTATACTGGAATGTGGGTGTAACAATTCGGTATTGATTACTGAGGGAGGGCTTTGGCTGCTCTTCTTCTCCATTCTTCTTTTTTCTAGGTGAACCAAATGAAATTATTGTTAGTGACCGGTCACATGCACGCCCTATTTATCGTAATTCAAACCATTCGTGCAGCCCTACCCAATGTTTTTCCTTCTCTAATGTTTGTTTTCTTCCTTCAAGGCATAAAGATCTTGTGATTTCCATGAAATGATTAGTGTCTGTGGTTGGATTCTGATGAGGTAAAAAAAACTCTAGAGTGGACTACAGCCAACACCAGGATACGCAGATCCTGACCCACAGATAAAAAAAATGGCCCAAACACGAAGTCAGACTGGCAATAACCTTTTGCAAACTGTTTCTGGACATATTTTACTTTTATTATAAGTAAGTAATGAAGGGATAAACAGATTTCCCGTACTAACTATTCCAAGCACATAAAGACATGCCGTTTACTCAAAGGTATGGTAAGATTTGTTTACTCAGTCACCATCATCCCTGAATTCTCTGAAAATTAAGACTAAGCAGTAGGTAAAGGCTGATAAAGGCTACAAATGTGAGCAAGTCATGTGTTAATTTAGTTTGCCAAACAGCATTCTGAACTCATGCAAAACCAAGGCACATTTCAATGTAATCATCAATACCTGAAATTCACTTCAAATAAAATCCATGAAAAACCAGCCCAAACCAAAATGAATTATATTAATTGGTTATATTACTAAATATTCTCTGGTTATACGACTGTGTACTGACTTTTCTGCTGTGTACAGGAGTCTTAAGATTGGATTAGAAAGAGATGCAAAGGGATAGCACAGACATTAGTCACCAATTTATTCTAAAAGAAGTAATAAAACCAAATAAATGACAGCCAGCATGCATGCCTGATGTATAAGCATGAGGAACTCGTCAGCACTTGCTTTGAGAAGTGGACTTCTGGTCCAAGCAGGTGGCTTCAGTTGTTGGTAAGATCTCCTCAAGCAGAACTGAAGCCAGTGAGAGCCTATAAAGGGTCTGATTCAACCTCAGAATTATAAGCAAGCTTTGGAGCAAGCCCAGTTAGAAAGAATGCTCAGAAAAGGGCAGGAGAAGTTACTGGCATCTCTCTTATTTGGTCCAGTATCCTGCTTCCAACAGTATTTATTGCTGATGTCTGAGAGGAAAATACGACCTACTTTCACAGCACAAAGAACTGTATAATACAGTTGGCTTTAACAAAATTAGATTTTTTCCATAATTTCAATTAATTTAGACACTTTCATTCTTCTAACTCTGACATCTTTCTAAAGAATTACTAAGTTCTTTGCTTCAATAGTAGCATAGAGACATGAGATTGTTGTAAACCAATTAAATGTTGATTAGGTAATCTATTTTCTTACCTGCCTGATTTAACAATGGTTGTCTTGCAGCTTTAATTGTATTTTTTTATTACTAATGGACAAGACTAATTGGAATCTATAATAATCCTTCTTTAAATGATTCATCATGTATAAATGGTACTGCAATTCAATTTTAAAACAGCTTCTTCTTATCTTTGAGTGTTGTCAGGTCTGTTATACAGGGCCAAATTAAATAGCTGCACCTGGCACTCTTTTTACATGTGACCATCCTAATATCATCTCCTCTTTTAGACTTCTCTGAGAGACTACAAAACAAGATATTGAATCATATCTACTTGAGGATTTTGTCTGATACTCTGGAAACACAGGGTTTTTTCTTACAAAATGCAAGTATTGGTATTCTCCTTGCATACTGCTTCTTGAGGGCTCTGGGAGCAATAATTAAATATGCTTTGCCTCAAGAAAAGATTTTAACCATTTTCAAGAACTACTCAGAGCTGTATGATACTAATATTACATCTGGTTTTCAAAGAAATCTTGGATTCTTATTTTAACGTAAAATTCCCCCAGCCCTTCATCATCACTCTGACAAAGATAGCACTCTGACAAAGAGAGAAAAAGAAATTTCAAAACAACAAATAAGCACTCAGGTCAATGAAGAGGCATTTCCTCAGTCCACAAATTCAAGTTTCTACAGATTTATCTGGCTTCATTGATTTCCTGAAAAAGCTGTATGACTAACAGTGGCTGTAAAAACACAATAGGATATTTTCAAGGGGATTGTAGACACATTTCTGTTTATGTCCAACTCATGAACAGCTGTGAACACTCGGGACAGATCCACATGAGCAGTATGGCATCATGTTTGCACTGTCTGCTGTCCTAAAATGCTGGAAGTAATCTAATTCTAGTCCAGAAATCAAGTAGCCACATTACCCCACAAAAAGCCTCACTGAAAATAGCTGCTGGGGTTGAGTGGCATAATAACACAGTCACACAACTTCTCTGAAACCACTTTACTTCTGAGTTCAATAGTTTGCACTCATTCATGCAGAAATACTCGTGAGTTTAAGGGATGTAGCTACTACTGCAGGTATTCTCAAAGGCATGCCAGAAGCTCTGTGCTGGTCAGTGTCAAATGTCACAGACAAGCCTTGGCAGCACAGCAGTGCACACAACTATAATTTCCCCATTCCTTTACAGAGGCTACTTGTGGCTTTGTTCTAATGATTCCTCCCAAGCTGAACAGGTTAATGAGATACTAAAAAAACCACAGCATGCTTTGAAGGGTTATGCCTATCATTTCTTTACTGGCAGACAACAAAAAGTTCCAGAAATCTTTTGGTATCAGTCCAAACTGAATGAATAAGGAAGCAAAGGTTGTGGAGTGTACTTATCCTGGGCCTCCAGTCCAGATAGAAATTCTTTTTTGAAGATTCTGTTTCCTGTGCCAACATAATGCAATATGGGAATTGCCTGACTGGAATGAACTGACTGTATAATGTCCAGCTCTTCAGTTTCAATAAGCTAAATCAGACCTTGTAAATAATGAGTCCTTAAGGGAAATGCTCTGTCAGTGACAGGCTGGCTTATGACTGAAAGCCTAAAGCTTTATTTTCTTAATTTTGAACTAGACACCTGTAAATATAAATGTTTACTGCTGTTGTTTTTACTAAGCTTTCTAATCACTGTATTTTCTGAAAGGGTTTCCATAGGTTAGTTATGTGCTGTTATAAAATGTCTTAAACTATGTGCCCTCAGCTTTATTTCATTCTGCTTCTCTGACATCCAGTGTCTTTTATTTCCCTCTTTTGGGAAATAAAAATTTGAATTTCATGACTGTTAACTCATTCTTCAGCTCCTAATTACAACTGTGCCATAACTCCTCACTCCACTAGTGGTCACTGATCCTTCCCTTAGACAGAAATATTTTTCCTATCAGTGCTCTCACATATTTCATGTCCTCCCCCTTCAGTCAAGAGTTCAGCAAAAGTGAAACTCCACTCTGGCACTCTCATAGAGCTTGCACATTTTCACCCTTACAGTGTCTATAATTCCAGGCCTTAGGCTTGACAACAGTATGTCTGGGAATGTGATTTCATCAAGTCTAGACTCAGTGTCAACCCTATGAAAATTATTATCATCAACTTCTCACTTTTCAAATATAAACCTAAAGTTATCCATACCATTTATCATTTTGTTATTGAACTTTTAAATAGTAACAGTCAAATTTCTTATCACTATGAGTGGCTAAAATTCTGTCACAGTCCATGGAGATATATCATTTGCACCTGTAGTGGACTTGATTGTCTACAGGACTGCTATCTATCACAACAAATTTTCTTTTTTCTTATACTTTGGGTAAATTATGATTTCATTATGATTCAAACTTTAAGGATAAAAATACCACTAATAACATTTAACTACATTTAAATATTATCTAGAAAAAATAAAACTTAAAATAAAGCAGTCTTAGCAGATGAGATTTTCTCTCCTTTGGCTTCCTTTCTACTGACACCTTCCTACAATTCTGGTTTGCTGTAACTACATGGACTCCCCTTGGAAGAATACCAGCATAATGTAGGGAAAGTTCTCAAGAGAAGAGTGGAAAAAAGGGAAAAATTAGTAAAAGAGTGAAATCTCTAGGGTAGATACTGCTACACCAATTCATTCAATTAACCTCAACATTAACAATGATTAAAAAGAGGATGATAATAAATGACAGACAATAGAGCTCTTCTAAAAGCATGAGCTGCTTGGCCTTAAAAGCAATGTGACACTTAGCACACAAAAGAAACAGCTCTCCCTGAAAATAAACAGTCACTTAAATAGTCTTTCAGGTAGAGGATTAGATGAATAAAGACAAATTTTACAATCATTACTACCCAATCACAGAATGGGAGGACTTTCCTCTTTGTTTGTTTTTTCTGTTTGTTTGGTTTTATAAGAGGAAGTGAATGTCTTAATCAAAGTGAACTCTAAAAATGATTTTGCAGAGGGATATCCAGGCTTTGAAACCCTTCTCTCCCAGAAAAGTCAGGGACTTTTGTTGCTGTACTGAAAAATATAAGCAGACAACAGAAATTCTACAGTTATGACACTATTCAATTTAAGGAAGCTGACGTTCAGAGATATCTCAGAACATTATGATAGTTTTTACTCTGTCCTTAATACAATGTGCAATCATATATAATTTTTGAATGACTGATAACAGATTCCTTTTAAAAAGAAAATTTGCCTTTAAAAATATGGTGTCTGAAAACTCACTATTTCAGGATCCCTACTAGAGTCCAAATGCTTTTTGGCATTGGAGAATAGTTCTATTCCAGTTTCTGTCACACTGCCAGCTCTTCTGTTGAGTCCAGGCAAGATTACAGCAGTGGTACAGTGACAAAGTGCACAGGACAATTATTCTCAGGTAATCCATCAACATCCACTAGGACTTCCATAGACTTCTTGTTGTGGGATGCAAGGCATCTTAAAACTGCAATGCTCTTTATTCTGTTACAAACAACTGAGATGTTTCTCTTGTGATTTTTACATTTGGGGACCCCTTTACAGGCTTCATTTAAATAAATTCCTCATTAAGTTACAATATTGTGGAGTAAGTGTATGGGACAATACATTAGTTTTAAGATCTCTGAAGAAACTTACGTAGCCTGTATTGCTGATTTATTTTTATGCAGTTTGTGTGGCTCTAAGCTGCTTTTTCTGCCTA